ATGAAAGCAAAGATACATTAGGCTTGAATAAGGAGAGACAGTCATCAGCTTGCATGAATACGGAGATGGAGTCTGCACCTTGCTTGGATAAGGAGATTCAGTCAGTAGCTAGCTTGAATCAGGAGACGAAGTCATCGGAATCCCAGTTAAGATCCTCAGAGAATGACATGAAGTTCCACATGGATTCATTCCCTGGACACTTCTTTCCTATCACAAGGCGAGGACTCTTCTTCAATGACTCCTTCTTCCAAGACTCGTGGAATGACTTCCAGAAGGCCGTGAGGGAGGTGCTGGCCAGGTGGGGAGAGCAGTCATCGCTGGTCGACGACCTGACTAGTTACAGGAATCTTCGAAGTCGCGACCTTCGAGAAGATACTCAGGCTGTCACGTCCTCGGAGGATGAACATCAGCATAAGGTACATATATAGTCTTTACGTTATACAGAAGTGTTTATGAAAACAATATGTACATATGAGTGTAATCTATAAAAAAAAAAAATCAACGTTCTGCTTATCTTTCAGTTTGTAATTGATGTCAAAGATTTCATGGATGGCGGAGAGATAAACGTGAAAGCTGTGAACGATCGAGAACTGGTGGTTTCAGGCCACATCGGCAAGAATGAGGGCGGCTCGAAGTCCACCAAGCGGTTCCTTCGACGCTTCGTTGTTCCTGGAGACATTCAGCTTGATGCCGTTACTTCAGCCGTGTCCTCTGACGGCGTGCTCACTGTTTCTGCTCCGAAGAAGGTAAGGATCAGGTAAAGAGATCTTAATGCGGGACTCTAAGAAGTCCATGCTATGTGTATCTCCATATATCGAAATCTTTGCTAACATCCTCTCCTCCTCCAGCACTCAACACTCCAGATAGAGGAGGTCTTTTCCCCCTTAAGCATCGAAGGAAGTGAGATGAAGCTGACCAGTCCAAGCACGACCAAAGACAACTCTCAATCTGAACTTCAAAATGGTCAGGGAAGTCCTGTGTCCCCTCCGCCCGTGTCATCAGGCGCCACGGCGTCTCCTGTCGGTCAACATGCAATCGTAGAGCAAGTTCCTGACTCTCGAAATGTAAGTATCTATAGATATCTGCTCTACTTTTCTTCATGAAGTCCGTTTGTTCTTATCGTCAGCACAAGAAATGAAAGAATGAATATGTTGAAAAAAATCTGAAGTTACAAATAAAAGTAAGGCAAATTAGAATATCATATTATGTCAAGAAAGGTAAACGATCTGTTTATACCCACATAAGATAAAAAAAAAATCGTTTCACCAACAGAAGGAAGACTCATACCTACTCGTGACTGCAGTTCCCGCGAGAGTCGAAGAAGTGCCAGACTCCGCAGAGACCCAACCCCCTTCTTCTTCCGCTCCCTTGAAAACCGCAGGCAAAGAGGGCGTCCCCAAAAGACCAACATCCTTACCCTTGGGCACAAAGGGGAAGCAAGGCGAGGTCGACTACAAAGCAGCACTCAAGCCGAGACCCAGCGGAGGAAAATTCCCAATCAAGATCAGTGGGACGGTGATCAACAGTAGCCTAGTGTAAGAGGAGGGAGATTATAGAAGGGAAAGGAAAACTAAGAGAATCGCCGTTTCTTCGAGCAAGGCCTTGTGACTGAAAATGTTTTCTATCACCGTTCAGGATACTAACAAAAAAAAACTCATCGATCCTCTGCAGTTCAAGCAGTGCAAGATGATAGAAAGTGATTTAGATGGTACGAATGAAATCGAAACAAAAAATATGCTAAAGAAAACTGTTATTGTTAACTCTGAGATGCTGTATGCATTATGGTTATGTTGAATATCTCTCTGTCTAAACCCCGGTTTAGGATATTAGCGAATAGTTTGTTGATCTATATTGTTACAAATATTTTTTATAGACATTTATCTTTTAAATATATACTCCTTTTCGATTTCTTGATTTTTACTCTTGCCAAAAAACCTACAGATTCTGTAAAAGAAGTGATAATTGTTGTTTGGCTTTCAAGGTGATTTATGAAGATACACGCTTATCATGATACATGATACTGATGTATTTTTATGAAATTCAAAAGACGGTTTGTTAAAGAGAGATGCATATGAAATATTGCAAATGTTAGTAAGGAGTAACGAATTCATAAATTAAAATGGAGAGTGCGAAAGTATCCATGGGTTAGCTCAGGGTTTGCGCCATAGTCCATATGAGATTTTCTCTCTTGTCTTGCTGTCGCTATTTAGGAAGCCTTATTGAAAATAGCAATCGCACGAGAGAGACATCCTAACGTATTCGTCGTAATCCAGTTCGTAATTCTGGGTCGTATCTTCTCAGATCAGGTAAACACATTCTTCTTTTGCGGCACCTCCATCGCGCCAGTGTCTCTACCAGAAGCCTCATAACCTGAGCCAATTTTTTTTTCCTAGCGGAGACTTTAATTAGAATTTCGACATTAAACGGGTGTGGGCTGTCGAAAGAGGCGATAAGAACGGAAGCGCAGTACAATACACACTCGGCCGGGTGTGTGTTTTCT